TAAAAAAAGGGCAGGAAGAAGTCCTGCTCTTTGTCCAGGAAATCCTGATGCTTCAAGTTTTACCCAGGGATTGTCTGTGGAAGCTCCCTTAGCCATCCTTCAGCTATCCCGAGGACTCCTCAGGCTACCAGTGAGGGTTGCCCACGTACCTCCTCATGTGTGGGTTAGGGCTGACAAAGGAACAAACACGGCAAGCCCGGCTAGGGAGATTTGTTGGAGAAGGCCACAGCTAGAACTGGAGATACTGTCAGCCCAGGTCATTTGGTTTTAGGCGTCCCAGGTGGTGAGGAAGCACTGCCATTAGGGGTATTTTAAGAGCAGAGGGATGGCTTGGGGTAGGGCTCCTTTGACACGGGACCAACCTCCCAGACCAGGGTTTGTGGACCCTACGACAGTGAATATCGGGGGTCAGGGTAGCCTCACCTGGGCTGGGCTACCCAAATCCTGAGCCAGCCTGTGTTCGGTACAGGGCTGGTTTCATGAGGGGAAAGACCCACGTGTCAGGAATGATAAAAGTATTCCTTTCTCTAGTAAAGACTACTGAGAAGTGTTCTGGGAAGGAATCTTTCTATTTTAAGTATCTAACCACATTTGCCGAAATAGGTCTTAGCTGTAAATTGGAACACTTTCAAGCTGTTTTTTCTTTCACCGTGCTTGGGCTATGAGGTGTCTCTGTTTTTCTAGGGCTTGTTCAAAGAGCCTTAAAATTGATTGACTAGGTTGCTGTGAGCCTGTTCTTGTCCTGTAGAGCTTTAGGATATATGTAGGAGAGAGGCTGCTTGGCAAGAAGGGAACATTTAGAGATACTTGCAGCAGTGAAAACTACTTCATCCTTTTATTTCTTTTTTCCCCTCAGTTTTGCAGGAATACCTGGAGGAGAAGAGTGACGTGTTCTTTCTTCTCTGCAGTATAAACTGTAATGAACCAAATCTTTATTGTTGCAGCAAACAACTATGGAGCTGCTCCTTAACATTTTTCACAGATCAGTTAATGTTGAGGAGAGCAACTGTATTAGAAAAGGGGTCACCCCCTGCCCGCGTCAGGTGTTTCTGTTCAGCCCAGTGGATCATACTGAGTCTGTGGGACTGTGCCTGTAGCTGTGGGGCTGAGTAAGGTTTGCACCATGCAGTCATGCCTTGGGAGTGTGGGAGTGCTTTTAGGAGGCAAAATTCACTATCCCTGGTCTTTGGACAAGGTATTGATTCATCTGCCAGCAGGCTGTATGATAAGGGTTTAAGAAGGAAACATAACTTAGGCTTTCTGTTCTTGAAAACAGTTCATTTTGTAAAAGCAACCCATAAATACAAGGGAATATATAAAGCAGAAATAGTAAAAAGAAGACTGTTGGTTACAGCGACTGTACAGTTAAATATGGAGGAAGGGATTTTCAATTTGTTTTTGAAGTTTTTATCACAAAAGCATTGTATTGGGTTTGTGTGGCAAGGTT